TTTTGCTGCACACAAAAGATTTTAGAATAGTTACTTGTCAACCTTGTAATTCCAAACAGCTCAGGGTGGCATTTTCAGCTGGGGGATGTCATGAAGACTTGAAATCCAACCATAGAAATGCAGGTGGTGACTATTTTTTAGCTTATTTCTTTTTTTCCTAAATAATCCTCTTGAGTGCTGAGATGACAGGTCTGGGCCACCATAGTCAACTTGCAGTGACAAGAAGCACTGAGCTGCTGAATTTCCAAATTCTTCCATCTCTTAGTAGAGATAAAATGGTAGAGGTGAAGTTTGCAATGTTCAAGTGATGAGTAAAAATGAAGGGTTTGGGTTGGGGATGTAATTCATACATACACTAGATTTCATCTCCAGTGATGAGTGACTTTCTTACATCCTGAATCTTCTACAGGTGAGGAGATATTAGGCCCTGTACAAGCATCACTGCCCAAAGAGACTCCCCACAAACCCTATTGCTGCCCTCCCATATCCTTCAATCATCAGCCTCTGAATCAAAAGTATATTTGCACTTATTTGGAAGATCATGGGCCAAATGGCCACCCTTAGCTGCAAGGGGATTAAGGAGTGACTGACATTATTAATATCGAATGACAACTCATTCTGATTGTTCTAGATACTAGAAGTGCCCCTCCACGGGGTTCCAAGCACACCATGGCAGCTACCTGATCAGTATTAGATGGGCGCTGGTTCTTAAGATAGGGGATGATGCATCAAACCAAGGAAGGCAATTCAGATTGCAGGTGGCCATGACAGAATGCCATGTCCACCATAGTCTCCAAAAGAAGTCAAAGATCCTAATGACTCCAAAGGAAAAAGAAAGAGAGACCTTCCCAAAGCCAGGGAAACAGGCTAAGTGAACTCACACGCTTTCTTTCAGATACCAGATTGTAGAGTTCTGCAGTACCAGGGATTTTTAATGCCACAAGGCCATTATTCTTTCCAGTGATCTATCAGTCTTTCCAAGGGCTAGAGGCATAAGACAGAATATTTATGGGTGATTACCACCACTGCTGAAGTTAAAATAAAACAAGGTTAGTAAGGGCCCAAAACCACTGCCATATCCCATCCCATTGGGATAAATGAAGTGATTCAGAAACAAAGAAAATTACTTCCCAAGAAATAAATCCCACCTTACGATTCTTCCTGGAATCTCTAATTCCAACTTCCTGAAGATATCACCACGAGCAACAAGAGATTAATTGTGGGCGTTTTCAGAACTCACCATAAAACCTTCCTAATCTTCCTCTAACCCTTTCATGGACCATCTGCTAAAGAATAAGCACATGTCCCCAATTTGGCCAACCATGGGCTTTCATTGCCCCAACTCACACTCTGATCCAATCCAAGCTAGTCAAGTCCTCCCTCGGGAATATCCAGTTTAAAGCTGTGCCTTGGTGCCATAAGAAAATGGAGGAAGTTAGAAAGAGAGAAACCACTTCCCTGACAATGAGAAGGTCTGTTGATGGCAAGAAGGAAGAGTATTTTGGAAACTGTTAGAGACCTGAGAGATGGAAAGGGAAGACGCAGAGAGGAAGGAAGGGAAAGCACCTGTCTTGCTGGCTTCAGCTGCCTGTCCTGTGAGCTACTCTCCTCCCTCCATGGCCAGATAAGCCCACAAGGGCACCTTGCTCCCCTCTCATGAAGCCCTTAGCTAGCATTGCAGGCTGTAACTATGATAATTGTAAAGTGTCCAGCAACCAACAATCAGAATGGCTCTACTCTGCAAATTGCTAATGTAACCATGTCACTTGCAGGGGTGGCCAGCACCCAAACAGTGTGCAAAACTCAGATGGACCTCCTTAGTCTCACTCACCAGAGTCACCCACTATGAGACATAGATGTAGAGAAAACACAGGCTTCTCTGTAGCTCCTAGGGGATGACACACGGCAAGTCCCTCCAGCTGCACACACCATGACTGCTAAATAGAATCCCAACCCTTTATTCGTGTGTTTGGGGGTTATCAATGGTGAGGTGCCTGTGCATGTGTAGGAACATGTGGAAGCCAGAAGTCAACCTCAGGTGCTTGCTTTGTTTCTTTGAAGCAGGGTCTCTCACTGGGATCTGGGGCTTACCAATTATGCCAGACTGTCTGCCAGCAAGCCCCAGGGTTCCATCAGTCTCAATCTCCCCAATACTGAAATTACAAGCACTCACCCCCGTGCCCAGATTCTTACATAGTTCATGGGCTTGAACTCAGGTCTTCATGCTGGTACAGCAGGGGCTTTCCCCACTCAACTATCTCTTAAACCCTCTGTGATTCAAAAAAGCCAGGGTGCTTTAGGCTCACACAGCAGAATTTGCACCAGTGTCCAACCACTCAAAATCTGGGACTCTTTCTGTTCTAGTACAGCCAATATAAGGAAAGGGGAGCCCAGGAAGTGTTCCCATGTGGGAGGAAATGGAAACTAACAAAAAGAGGCAGAAATCAATGAGCAGATGTTTTGCAAGCTATTTGTGGGACTCAGTCGGTTCCTTGGCCCAAATGGAAGCTGTAAACAGCTGGCCTTAGCTGGTCCTCGGTAGAACCAAGAATATACCTTAGCAAGGGTAGGGTGCCACAATAGATTAAGGGAATCCAGTCCCAAGGGCCATTTCTTTTGCAGTGACTGAGGGCACTGCCAGTTTCCCCATTGACCTGAAGCACGCTTCGTAGGGTTCCTCTTCAGCTAATTCCGTCAGAGGGATGGAAGGGAAAGGGAGAAGTCAGAGTGAAGGAGGAAAGTATGCCAGACTGCACACTTGGCAGTGGCCTTGAGACAGGAAGTACACAAAAACGCATTGCTGCCTAGAAAGCCAACAGAAGCTTAAGCCAATTCATTTCGTTGCAAATTAAACCTTCAATATCCCAAGTGATCAGTCGCTAGCAACACCATGAACTTACCAGGTTTCCTAAGTTAGGCAGACACAGGGTGATTCGATGCGAGTGCAGCTCTCAGTTTTAACACTACACTAACTTGACAGGGAGGAGGGAAGAAACACAACCATAAATCAGCAAATCAGAACACCTGTCAGAGCTCATCTCTATATAAAGAGCTTACACAGACAATTAAAACCTCCAGGCAATGTGAAAAAGATAGGAGGAGAAAAGTTCCCCTGGGGCAAAAAAGAAAACAGTAAAAAATATCATAGAAAATAAATGTGTGTCACTACCAGCTACCAAGAAATGAAAGTGAGGACATGTTAAGTGAATGCTATTAAATTAACAAAAAGTTGCATAACCCCAGGCTGGAGAGTTTCCAGGAGTATGAGTCTGCACCTCTACTATGATCAGAACTAGAAAATATTTTAATATGACTAATGAAAAGGAAAAGTTTGGAGTGATGGGAACTTCACAGACATGGGTACAAGGATATAGTGTTTGTGGCGATGCAGAGCTGTAGGGCAGTGGTTTGCAGCCTCAGTTTCCTCATCAAGTAAACTGAGGCTGTGGAATCATTCTTTCTCCCTGTCTGTCTGCCTGCATCTATCATCTATCTGTCTATCTATCTATACTATCAACCTACCTACCATCTATCTATCTGTCTATCTATCTATCTCCTCCCTCCCCAGTTTAGGGCTAGAAATGAAATAACATACAAGGGGAAACCCTACATGGAGTGGGCTGAGCCCTCTTCACCCCTCCCTCCTCTCCTTTCACCTCTGCACTCCCAGGGGCTGTGACTCAGTGTGAATGGGCAGCTATCTCCTTCCAGGTAACATGGGAGGGTGCTGTTCACACTGCAGCTTCTGACTTAGAACTGTTTCCCAGCAGATCAAAGTTGCTCTGGTTAGCAGGTGCCTGTGATTTGTACAAAAGACTGGCAAAGGACCACAGGATCCTTTCTGGGGGAAGACTGTAGGTCCCATAGTAAGTCCCTACTGCCCAGCCTTCCACATGCCAGTATTCCATGCCCTGGACTTGTAAGTGTAACTAGCCTGGCAGAAATGATTATTAATTTTTCTTCTGGAGATGGGTCTCACTATGTAGCCCAGGCTAGTCTGAAACCTACTATATAGACCAGGCTGGCCTTAAACTCAGAGATCCACCTGCCTCTGCCTCCCAGCTGCTAGAATTGAAAGTATGTGCTACCACCCCAGTTTGGCAATGAATGTATTCTAAAGATATTCATGTGTCTCTCACCTAACTATCAGATTTTTGAAACAATGGACCCCAAGAAACTGCATTTTCCCCAGGAGTCTCCTGGTGGGGGAAGGAAAGGGCAGAGTCCTTGCATCAGCCAAGGGAGAACTTGTCTCCCAGAAAGAGATGTCACATGGTTCTAATACCTTGCGGGAGGACATTGAAGCCCAGCAAGGATGGGTCAATGGTGGGTGGGACCACACCTTGACCCTGACTGCTTAGATGTGCATAGCTACCTAAATGCCAATCTCACTTCACGACCCCCAAAGATGGACTTGAGAGAGTCGCTGGCTCTGTTTGTCCCTCTTCCCAGTGTGGTCACATTGAATAAATCCCTTTTTACTGCTTTTTATTCTCAATTTGTCTATTTTAAGTACATTAGAGAGAATAACTGAATCTGGCTTCTGGGGTGCAGACTGTGACCCCAAGTTCAGTAACAAAGGAGTTAATAGGAACAGTATGCCCCTCTTCTTAAGAGGACACTGATCCTACTGTATCAGGCCCCACCCTCATGCCTCACTGAACCTTAATTACCACATCAGTCTCACTGAGAAACCTTTAGAATATGGATATTCAGAACACAGGCCAGCCACAGAGCTGTGCCTACTGTGTGAGCAGGCTGCCCTCCCATCCAACACCCTGAACTGCTCCAGCCCAATAGTCCTGGTATGGTGAAGCCTCAGACTGCCCTAAGCACACCAAGGACTATTAGGTGGCTTTAGAGAGGATATAGCTCAAGAGAAATCCAGACAGAGAGGGACAACTAAGTCCTCACTCTGAAGGCTCTCCCCAGCTGCCCAAATGTTCCTTCTGGGTCCATCTAAGAAGACTGAGTGATGGCCCCTCTCTTCTCTCCCACAGCATCCATCCCTACAACATGCTCCCTCTGAAGAGCTCAACCTTCCTTCAAGTAAGTGACCATACATAATGGGTTTGACAGTTAAATTTCCAGTTTGGTCTTCTTTTAAACAAAGGAATGCTTTGCATAGCTGTTACCATTTGAACATGAAATGCCTCTCGTGGGTTCATGTGTTGAATACTTTCTTGGTCTCTAGCTGGTGATACTATTTTAGGAGGATCTGGAAACTATAGGGGTGGTCCTAGTTGGAGGAAGTACATCCCTAAGGTTGAACTTTGCAGGTTATACTTGGTCCCCGAACCCTTCCTGCCTCTCTGCTTTCAGCCCACTCTAACGGGAGCCTCTCTCGTCTACCACACCCGCCCAGGCATGATGAACTGGCACCTCTGAAACTTTCAGGTGGTTCTCCTTGTGTGCTCATCATGGTGACAGAAAGCCTAATACAACATCTCTAGCTAAGTAACAGAAGTTGATTTCAAGCCCAATGTCAAGTCTAGACTCAGGACCTCAAACCACTGCCCCTGGCGACTTGGATATGTTTTTAGCACTTCCCAAACAAGCAATGCAAATACATGGCATTGCATTTCACACAGCTCCAAAGCAATGGGACCCTGATTCTAGCCTGGGACTTGAAACCCCAAGCCTAAAGCTGTTCCCCAAGGTTGTGGTGTGGACTGCTATCTTGTCCTGCTACTTGTCCTGTCATTTGGCCTTTCAATAGAATACAGGATATGAAATTGTCTCAAGCAAGACTCTGAATAATGTTCCAAGTGATAGAGGCCTCAGGGGCTCTAGAAATGAATTCCTTGGGGCCAAAAAACTTCTCCAATTCTCCACTCCTTTGGAATGTATTAACAAGGCATGCTTCCAGTCAGCCCTGAGCACAGACCACTCAGACCTTCATCTTCCCTGTGCACCATCTTTCTCCCATGCTCACCACAAATACACAACCTCCACCTTAGACTGAACCCTTATGATGAAGATTCTAGCTTTCCAGAGTCCCTGAGCCCAAGGGAGACAAGGACAGCACTGCCCTTAGTGACCCAAAACCCCACTACCAAGATGAACACCAGTTTGCTGTCAAGCAACATTAAAATCCCCATTCTCCAGACTGGCAACCCAGCTCCTTGTCTTGACTCTTGACCAGAGTACAGACACAGTGCTAGGGACCTTTTGTGTAGGGCTACTTTCATGGCCACATAACTCCAGATCCATAAAAAACACACAAATGGTGGAGTTTCGTAGTGTATACAACTAGAGCTAGACCAGTCCAGCTGATGCTGCTCCATCTCTGCTTTACTCCCTTGCTGGTGAGAATACTGCTCCCTTGCTATACCTTGTAAGTCCATGAGTTTGCTCCTCCAGTCTGGACAGTCAGGCACCAGAAACTCCAGGTTCTGATGGTGTCTTTCTCAGGGTCCTTCCCACTGTGGGCCATCTTGAAGACACTGGTATGTCCTCAACAAGAAATGGACCCATCTGAGATGCCCTGTAGTGTGTCATTGGATGAGTCTCCAGGCATGTTTCTTCTCTAGGCAGTGTGTCCTTCCTTGGGCATGGGACTCCTGCCAATGAGCCATGCAGGGGTGACTGACTTTCTCCATGTAGCCAGAAGTCTCACATTCACACTACTGACTTCAAGGCTGGGTCTCCCCTTGTAACAGAGGCTCTCTTGTGCATCCAGGGTGTTCAACAGTAAGATATCTTGACCAATCCAGATGCCAAGAGCATCCCCAGGACCTAGATACAGCTGATGTCCCCTGGTGCTTCTGGGTGACAGCCACCATTTAGATATGGTATGGCTGATGCCTCCCCTGCTACACTTCCAGGGGGAACTGGTATGACCTGGGATCAGGAATGCTCAGGAATAAATGACCCAAGTCTCCAGGCCAGACATGGTAAGTTGTAACATGCCTGCTGCCACAAAGAACATAGAGAGGTGAATCAGTGGTCGGGTCCTAAGATATAGAGGGGGTCTGAGTTTGGGTTCTGAGAAGATCCTGAGAGTATATTAAATATATTACTATATGGAAGGTACAAGGAAAAATTGCATCCGGGAAGGGATGGATGCAGGAAAAGGGCATTGCCAACCATGGGTTATCCTGTCAGCCAGTCATTGGTTACTGATGTCTAGAGTGTAAAGTTCATGGAGACCTCAAGGTGGCAGCATTGAACACCACACACTTGAGAGGTATCTCTAGTCTGAGGGGTTTTTACACACCAATTCCCATCAGCCAATGACTACAGGCTACTCATGTGGGGTGATATCTCTCCAAAGCAAGCTCCAGGGACAAGGGAATGTCTCCAGCAGGAGATGAGGGAGTCAGCCATCCATGCACCTTGGCATGACAGGCCACCACAGTATCTGAGGCTGTCAAATATGTCGTCTCACTGGGCCTGCTGGGCCCGCTGGGCCTGCTGGGCCTAGCATCTACACCTGTGAGCATCCAGGTCTCATCTCCCATGGATGTTCTTTACTGCCTTGGCCTTCTAGTTAAAGTTGGAACGTTTCTTTAAACATGTTCTTAAAAGTAAGTGCAATGCCTAATAAGGCACAGAGGAAAGCCATTCTGGATGGCTGAAGGAATCGAGAGGCAGAGAAGAAACAGAGGTGAAGGACCAGAGCCCCCGACCTGCTCTGCCTCCGACCTGCTCTGCCCCCTCAGCCCATCCTCCACCAACAGGCAACCTTATTAAATCTCTGGAGCTCATCAGAAGTAGGTTTGCAAATGCCAAATCACCTGCTAACCCTATGGCCCTTGACCCTTGACCATGAGATGAGGCAAATTGGGGCCCATATCTCTCACCTAGCTTTGTGTTTAAACAGGATCCCACCTGTGGCGAAGGTACCTGGCTCCTTGCCCAGATTCAGCTACTCTGCTTTGAAAATTATAGTGCGCTCCCCCAGAAGCTGAGCTTCGAGGACCAGTGTTCATTCATCTCTGTTACTCAGCACAAGGAAGAGTGAGCGCAGCGAAAATCCTTTCTGCTATGCTGATGGCAAATGCCTTCCAAGTTAATCCATCAAGTCTCTCCAGGTCTGCACTAGGCCTTTCTGCCTTGCCTTAGAACCCTTTCCTTCAACTGAAAGCTATCTCTCTCCTACCCCATCCCTGGCTGGAATTCTTCCTCCAAACAGGGTGGCTCACCTGTGGGTGAGAACTACATGGTCTTGAACATGTCTGTCACTCAGAGACTCCAACCACTAGCTCATTTTTCCAGAACCCTCCAGTCTGGGTGAGCGGGATTTTCTGTGCTTCCCCTCCCATCTCTTGTAATAACCAACCTCCTAGCGGGGCACTGGTTGTATGAAGTACAGGAGACTGACCTTGCTTCTCCCTGTTCTCCTAGTCACTGTGAAGGGTCCAGGCTGTGAAGCATGCTGGTCAGGACTGCCTTTATACCCTGCTGGAAGACACTGCACTAGGAGACGAGTGTTCTCTTCCCTCTGGGCCTGGGAAGCATATGTCGATTCTTTCCATCATTTAGAGAAATGGAGAGTCTGTCTGAAAGGAATGCCCTGATGTCAGCCCTTGATCCAAGTGTGCCTGCAGGCCAGTCCGCCCAGTACTCTTCAGGTCCTGAGCCTCGCCTGGATAGACATGACTGGGTCATGAGGCTCTGCCCTCATCAACAAATTGATGTCATCATCATCAGAATAGGCTTTTCTAAAAAATTCTTATTAAGATTAGTAAGGACATAATGGTTTAATTATAGTCAAACAAGGGTTAGGTGTAAAGCCATTTTCATGCACATATATAATGTATTTTGAGCATATCCTCCTATCTCCTACAGCCTTCTCCTCCTTATTCCTCCCCTTCCATCAGTCACTTCTGTTCCTCAGTCATCAGTGCATATATGCTTTCATGGATCTATGAAGTCTAGGACTCACGAATGAGAGAAAATATACAATATTTGTTTTCTGAAACTGACTTAATCCATTTCATGGGATTATCTCTAGCTGCATCTGTTTTTCCTACAAACAATATAACTTCATTCCTTGTTATGGCTGAGAAGAGCCCCACTGTGTATATAAAGTGCATTTCTGTCATCCCTTCCTCTGCTGGGCACCTCCGTTGGTCCTGTAGCTAACTGTTACGGATAGTTCTGTAATAAACACGGGTGTCAAGCAGATTTGTGCACCTCCCTTCTGTCTCCTTCACACACTCCCTTACTCTGCCGATTTCCCTCCATGTCACCATGCTGCCCGAGGCCCAGACATAGCCCTGCCCTGCAGCGCCGGCCTTGCTAAATCAGTGTCTGCCATCTGTAAGTTACCCAGGTCATGGGCTTCTGTCACATGAAGAGAAAGGGAATGAGACTGAGCCAAACTTCTGGTACCTGCCCTCCAAACCTCACTGCCCCTTGGGAGAGAGAAGGAAGGTTTGAACATTCAGCCTCCTGAGTCCTAGCTATCAGTTCCCTGTCCTGCTGAAACTCTCAGGCACCTTGCTGAAGATCATAACAATGTGTGACACTATAACCCTCCATCTTACAGGGAGCCACTTCCACCCTTCATGAATCTGAGCTGAAGGGACCTCCTGCCAACTCAAGAGAGGTCGAAAGACAAACAGGGCTTGACTTTAATCAAGCAAGCTCTTCCACAACCTAGCAGAGTGACTTCAGGCAAGTTGTATTGGTTACATTTCTGTGGCTGTGGTAAAACCTTACAACCAAGGTTCTCAACCTTCCTGCTACTGCAACCCTTTAATACAGTTTCTCATGTTGTGGTGACCTCCAGCCATAAAATTATTTTTATTGCTACTTCATAATTATAATATTGCTACTGTTATTAATTGTAATGCAAAGATCTGATATGCAAGATGGTCTTAGGCGACCCCTGTGAAAGGGTCATTTGACCCCCAAAGGGGCTGTGAGTCACAGATTGAGAACCACTGGTATAGACCCATGCTCATAGACCCACTATCCTCAATCTCAAAGCAAGCAAAAACCCTCCATAACCTTGTGAAGAACAATAGCTCTAGAATCCAGAGGAAGCATCTCTAAAAGTGGATCCCCAGCTCTGGTTTAAAGGCCATCCTCAGATGTGAGTCACTGGTCATCCTGAAGCCTTTCAGGACCACCCCAGGGCTGAGACTAGTGGCACCACAAACAGCCACACAGCATACAGCAGCTGTGTGATGTGGTGTGGTGTGGTGTGGTGGCGGTGGTGGTAGTGGTGGTGGTGGTGGTGGTGGTGGTGGTGGTGGTATGTGCGTGTGTGTGTGTGTGTGTGTGTGTGTGTGTGTGTGTGTGTGTGTCATTACTGCACTTCCCTGAGCCTCAGGAGCAACCACCTTGTGAGGCCCAATAAAAGTGACTACAGAATGCCTACTGTACTTCCTGCTATCCAATCTTCAGAAGTCATTCACTGAGCAAACATCAGTAATATATATTACTACCCCCTCTGTTCTTGTTATTAATTAATAAAAATAATAATAATACTTCCAGCTGTTTCCATGGCTCAGGTATTGTGTGCTTTACCCACATAAAGTATGGTTTTACTCACTCAACCCTACATGCTAGGAAATGACTGCCCTATGTACAGAAGACCAGGCTAAAGTGCAGTGAGGGATGGTGATTTGCCTAAAGTCATACTAGGTGCGCAGAGGAGCCAGGGTGAATATGAGTTTATACAACGCTACTCACACTTTGTCTCTTCAAAACCACAAGGCTCCAGATGTTCTGGGTTTAGTCTAAGCTTGGCAGTCATCACTGTCCTTTAAAATCATTCAGAGTCCAGCTGGGATTAGCCCCTACTCTCAATTTGCTCGGACATGTCTTAGTGTCTGTGCATAGAAATCGTTATCTGAAGGTTCCCTGCTGGAGCATCATGGGAAAGAAGCCCAGAAACTATCGTCCCCAACTCAATAGATCACATGGATGCTGTGCTATTCACACAATTTGTTTTTTCCTCAGGCTCCTTCTTTCACAGATTTTTCTGGCTACCTCTGCGCACTGTTGCCGGCATGTGTTCTCTCCATGGGTCCCTGTAGTGTCGTGGGATATTTGTACACTGTGTAAAGTTACATTGCTGTGGTTGGTTTAATAAAGAGTTGAACAACCAATAACTAGGCAGGAGGTTTAGAGAGAAAGAAAGAGGAGGAGGAACCAAGGGGCAGGAGAAACCAGGAGGCACGGAAATGCAATAGTGATACAAGATACAAGAGAGGTAATGGGATAGAACGTAGATTAATATAAATGGGTTCATTTAAGTTACAAGAGCTAGTTGAGACAAGCTTAAGATAAAGGCTAATTTCATAATTAATGAAAGTCTCCATGTCATTAAATTGGGAGCTGGCTGGCAGGACAGAGAAAGACTGGTTACACTACAGCTCCTGGGGACCTGTCCTCCAGGAAGCATAATTCTAACTTTCAGAATTTCTCTCACTGTTTCCCATCATCCGGCTTCCAGGAGGAGTTCCTTCTGATCTGAAAGGCCAGTATAGACAATCCCTACAGAAACCTCGAATGTCTTGTAGACTCACTTATTCCCCATTTATGAAGGGAGAGACTGTCTTGTTCCTATGCTGTGTTATTCAAACCCACCCACTCCACCGTGTCTGCCTGGCAGCTTTTGAAGGCCTGCTCCA